CTTCCAGTGAAACTACTAAACCTATATCTCTGCCAGTTAGCCCGCGATCGCTCGAAAATTATGCAGAAATTTACGTATCGAAACATTGTCATATCGCCGTTGAACTTTCAAAAGTTATGTTTAATTATAAAATCAATAATTTTTTCCACTATCGGTCATTTTAAGTGGGCGTGATCTTCATAGGGGTATAAGAAGCGTCAGCGGGTGTAGTGCTAAACAGTAAAGGAGCCACTGTCTGTATGTGTATGTGTATCCTTTCAAGCCTTGACAAAGCATCAAAAAGTGGATTTAGTCCTTTTAGAATAAGTATTACCTTTATTTTAAACGGAATATTTAGCAGCCAAAAATACGCTCAAATAATGTTTTTATAAATGTTTAAAAGAGGCCATATCACGTTGCATTCACCTCGAAACTCTGCTTAGGTTTACATAGGATTTACATATGTTGCCAAATGAGTCGACGATATCCTATCCAACTAACAGTGGTTTCGCGTTTGAAGACCGTTTCCATTCAGAGGTTTTCCATTCAGTTGGAGTTTTCGATAAGGAAAGAATAGTTTCTATGCAAACATTGGCTAATTAATATCCTTGTACAAAAGTGGACTCTAATACAAGGATTTATCACAGTCTAGGCTACGGACATTCACATAGAGGGAAAGAAACATAGGGATATAGAAACCTATTACACTAAAATATACATATATATGAAAAAATCCGTCATATATACCACTGTCTGACATAAAGTTCTGCTATAAAGCTGTAGAATTCCTGTTATTTTTTGTTTGATAGAAAAGTGGGTCCCACTTAAATAAGGTTGCGTAATTGAATTGCCGAGGTCTAAGTACGTAAAAAAGTAAGCGTGACCAGCTAAGATGCTCTTGGCTTGTTTCAGAATACTTTACACTGGGCAACGCGGTGTACAACACACAGCCCAGCTACAAATATCGGTTACACACAGGGCAGTCGTTCTAGCCACTTTGGTGTTCTACCGTCAACAATGTATTCATATACACATATATTTATCTATAAAATGGTGGTTTTTATCTTCCAATTGCATCCTTTTATATTTTATATTGTCTCATTTACAAATATCACATTTCCTTAAAAAGAGAAACCTGCTATGATGTTAGTATAGGCTGTTAAATATCACTTCAAGGCTGTTTGAAGCTGAGAAATTCAGGCGCAAACATCGAAGGGCCATGCTATCTGAATAATTCTAGTCTGACTACGGGAATGGTCGCATTACTACACAGATTGCCTGCCAGGCTACGAGTCTAAGCTACATCCTCATTCTGTCCAGCTGTCATTTCTGCTCACCGTTGAAGAGACTAAGGAGAGTGGAGTGCGCCTGCGACCCAAAATGCCCCTGTCCCCGACAGCTAAGATAATCGGCCAGAACGGTGCACGAGCAAAATGTGCTCTCTTAAGGCTGGCCGCCACTTTAATTGCATTCTTGGTACTACTGCCGCTATCTGGCCCGGCAAGACCTCTGTATCTGTCCCACTTAGCCAGCACACTCTGCCTTGCTCTCTTCTGCCAACTCGACTACAGGTGGGAGTCGACACAAGTTTACCACACGCGGCTCCTTGTACCTTGCGGATCGCTACTGTTAGCCCCCGCCTCCATAGCTACCGCCAGGACAGCATCCTCAGACACCGTATTGTCTCGATCCATCGATGGACGGTGCGCAGGGGCTCCCGTCGAACGAGACAACATCATAGGACACCATTATGTGTCGCTTGTTTCTAACTGGGTCACGCTCTTGCTACTAGATTGCTTTTGCCGTTGGGTCAATTGCTCGATGCCAACGGTAACAGTAACTGTAATCTGGAATGAATAGACACGGTAATTGGCGACAGTCAAAAGCTAAGATTTGCTCAATTGCTTCTTCGAGAAGCTGTTCGTTCTGTGACAGGCTTGAGAGGTCCGAACTGTGAACTGCTCTTTTGTACAGTGCGGTCTAATGCCGCCCGGGTCGTATCAAGTTTGCAGCTTCATACAGATTTCGTCCCACCTAACGAAAATAATCGGTAGAGCAGCTTATGGACGTACGAACCCACTTACTGTTGACTGCCCATCGAGGAACCTTTTAAGGCAGCCCTTAGCGAGCGAGATTAGCATGGCATTGGAAGCGACTAAATTTTAATTTCATAGAATACAGCATAGAGTTCGTTTACTGAAAGTTGGTGTGAAACCATTTGGTCAAACATTCGTAAAAAAAAGTCAGAGGTTACCTGCCGATTGCTTATATATCATAGTGTGGAACACACGGGACTATTCAGGACTTCAAAAAAATGCTACAGGCTTTCCATTCAAATTTCACGCAAATTACGTCGTGTGTCGTCTGCCACTTGATGTCTGGGATTAATGACCAGCACTGTGATGACCTACTATTAGATATATGACAGGTTTTACTATATCTCAACAATTCAGGATACAAAAAACACTGTAAGCGATCCGATAAAAAGTCCAATGTAAGCGAAAATGATTTTCTTTTTAATATCAAAACTAAAAGTACATAAGTGGAACTTAGCAATCAAAATAAATGAAAGGTAGATTCGTACTGCGGGTTTCAGATTGTGCTGTAGAACGAAGATTGAGTCTGGATGACCACGACTTCACGTTATGCTTCTGGTGATACATCATTCATTTCGAAATACTTCGAATGGAGGTCTAAAAATTGACGATCAGGCAAACGGATGTTCAAATGGACAAATGCAGGCAGGGCTATGATATTTTTTCTTCTTTCTATGCGAAATGCTCCTACACTTCTTACAGTAAAATGAAAAAACAGACGCCTTTAGCGACACTCTGCGTTGATAAGGTGCGCGAAGTTCTTAACTCCTGATAGAGTTCTCAATGCTTACCTCAGAGGAAGTGAACTTTTTGTTCCGCGAACCATGACCAGAAGCAGCGGCATCGGATGGAATGAACCTGCACTTGGTCACAGCAAGCAAGCGCACGGAGCCATGAAAAGTCGATGGAATCCAGACCCGGTCAGGCAGTTTTAGGAAGCTGAGCGAGTTGCTTGCCAAGTTGTGTCAAGACTTTCCGAGAAGGCGAGATGGATGACAATTTATTTTCACATTACCAAGTTAGACATTTCAATCGAAACGCGTTGAAGTGTGCCCACATTGCTCCAGAGGGCCTAGCATCGTTGGCGACACATCGGGCTTTTTACTCTAGGTCTTCGTTGGAAGGCAACGTTTACAACTTCGACACCAATACCCATTATGCTCTGACCATTCTCCAGTTTAAGCTGTTGCTGTGAACAATGATACGACAGAAAAACCAGTAACTTCAAGTTACGTGTTCTTTCCTGGGTAGTCAAGACTATCATCACTATTGACAAGCGCGTCCTTAGGAAACAAGCAGGCCTTTGACACCTCTTCCTTTCGTGGTCAGTTCAAATGTCATCAGCGGCCTTCACCGAACGAGCCAATAAACCTTATTGCCTCCATATCTGATTTGGATTAACTAGCGGAGTCCGTCGAATGACTTCTTGCGTCTAACCGAAGTACAACCCTCGAGCAATCGAAGATTTCTGCTATAAAGCGAAATTCTTCTTGGCAAGCCTTAACCTCTATCAGGCTTCACCGCAAGCTGGTAGCGACATTAGGGATGCCAAGATTCCGTTTTGTCTGGCAAGGGAAGAGAGATGCTGTGGCTCCTGGGAGAACTTGGACAGCTGAACTGCGAATCTAAGTGTTTATTTTAGGCCACTGGCACATTCTATGCGCGTCTCCGAAGACTCGTAAGCAACTGCCATCTCCCGCCAGGCCTGGCGAGAGCGGCTGACCCAGCAAGTTAGATCTACAGATCCTTTCGTGTCTTAGTGAGCAAGTAGTGCGCGAGAGAGCTGGGTTTGAACGAAACCGTAGTGGTCCAGTTGAGTTGCCCGTTGCTTCATCGACCATCCAATTGTCGAGATGCAGCTAGACTAGCAAGCAAGCAAATGAATGAGAAGTTCTGCGCCTAAGAAAAGCGCGCGGAAATTGTACAGCGATGTGCGCTGAGTTTCTAAGTTGTTGAGAGTGGGACTAGTGGTACAGGTACTAGTAGTAATAGGCTGTAGAGTCGCCTGTTCATTAGTGATCTGTTGTCCTGAGTGAGCGACATCTCGCAGGCAGCGCAGCAGCAAGTCCTTCGAAGTCCCTTCTTCGTCGTTCTCTTCCCGAGCCCCGAGTTCCGTTCCCGAAGACACCAACCAACCTTCTTCAAATCGTGTGCTTCTCTTCGCCTTTCTGGGAGGCACGTGGAGTTGCTCAGGGAAAGCCGTCCGCCATTGGTACTCGTTTAGGGCTGCGCCAAACCAGTTAGCCGCAGTTCTCTTTATCCATGATCCTTGACAGGACAACCTGCAGAATGACTTCCCGACTAAACCCGTTAACTTGACCAAATAGAGCGCTATCTTCGTTTGCTTCGGTGGTGGCTCCTGCTGCCGCTGTGGCTCAGACGCTGGTGTTCAATGAGTGCCGATGACAAGGCGTTTCCGTGTCCGGGTGCTGCTGGTCCCGGTCAGGCTGCAGCGGCAAAGGAGTTAAAGGCTGTTTCTGCTGGTGATTATTTGCTGAATGCTGTATTCGCTGCATTCGTCTTCTATAGCCCTCTGATGTCCTGACCCCTTTTCTCTCTCTGCCACCCATTTCTCCTTCTCATTATCGCTCTTTTATTTCGCTTCTCACTCCACTTGATCTGAGTTCTTGATCTTGACTGGGTTGGGCTTCCATGGCCTGCTCGCCCTGGGGTTGTCTTCGTCGGTTGGGTTGGACCTGGCTGCCGTCGAGCGCCCATGGGTCCGGTGGTCCACTTCTATACTTGAGCTCACTGGACCACTTCCCGCTCTTCCCTGTTGATCGAGGCTCTCTGGACCAATCAGGGGCTATGCTTGCCCTCTCCCTTCCCTTCCTCTCTACCCCACCCGCTATATAATGCCCCCACCCCGGACCCGCTCGTCGGAGATCTCCGGTTCAGGAACTGCTGGGCCAATAACGGCAGATCTGCTATCCGTGTGTCTCTCGGACGTGTTATTGCGTGCGTTACTCCATTGGGCCGCCACCACCATTCATTGCTCGATTGCTTCCGTTTTTTTTCGTTAAGATTCCCTTGGTTCGATCGAGTGCGTGTTATAGTTTTCGTTCTTGCCGTGGAAGCTGCCAAACTGTCTTTGTACCCAGGTTTCTCAAGTTGCTCGTCGGTTTAGCCTATTGTTAACATCCAGCTGTGTATGAGCCAGCTTGTAGACTTCACGGCGGCGGTGTTTAGCATAGAAAGGTGTTCTACTGAGAATTTCGTTGTTCTTGCCGTCGTCATCGTCGTTGTTGTTTTTTTGCGGCAGGTTGTGTGTTGTTACTAGTAGATGTTCATCCGTTATAAATTTACTACATAAAAAAACTAACACACATCTATAGTCACAATGGCGAGTGCGCGCGTGCTGGATGATTCAATGGTTCGGGACAACGATCGTGCCAAGACGGCGGGCCTTATCCCGAGTTTACTCCCTACTTCTTCATCCAACTGCCGGTTGCTCGACTTACTGGCCTATTTGGCCTTACTCCTACTTCGCGCCATCTGTTGCACCTGCTACGTTGCTCCGCCCGGCTCGGTGAGTTTCGTATACATTTTATACGGTGCGTTTGCTTTTCTTCGGACAACATGAGAGAAGCGCACAGCTGTCACTATGTGCAAGCATACGATGAACGGATATGTCTAATGTTGATGGAAAAATATAGGCGAGTGCTGATAATGGCCAATGTGCCATTTTCTATTCCCTCCATCTTCTTCACCTGGTTCCTAAGTTCGTCCCGCTTATAGCATGTACGTTGATCATTCCGGCCGGAATGTTCCAAAGTTTGTCTAGCTAGAGATAGAGCGATAAAAGGAGCTTTTACGGTACGTTTTGAACTGGCGTATGTTTGCGTTTCGGCTATTCAGCGGAGCGGTGGCGGCAGCGGCGGCGTTAGAGTGGGGTGGAACCTCGACGTAAGAACAGATATATTCGATGAATAAGCTTCGCAACTTTGACAACCGAGCTCCTTCAAGTGTCTCTTGACAACGCATGGGCCGCGTATGAACTTCATTTTAGAATCATTTCATTCAGTATGACTTCAGCTACACCGATATTGCAATACCATAACGTACTACCGTGATGTAATCTGACTATATTGAAACAAGCGTTAGCCGCAGTCCACGTATGTGTTTCGACTTGATATCGTTCTTGAGGCCTCCTAAGTTACAATTTTGCGCGGACCAAAGGAGCTAAATTAATCGACCCCTGCAAATCGTATTTCCCTCCCTACTAAAAGAACAGGACTAGTCTAAATAACAATGTCAGTCTTTACCCTTATACATATCTATATACCTATATACATATATGACTGTTTTGTTAGCAAGAATTTACAGGTGGACTTTTCATGGTGGAATCAAGCACTCGAAGCTCGCGATTTCCCGCATCGTGAATCGGTCACAGCCGCTGCCACCTTCTCCTATATCCTATACTTATTTATTCCTAAAATAGCAGCGGTATGATCGTTTGTTGCCGGCTGCGTGGATTGTCCGGAGGCCCCTGTACCATCGTCGTTTGCCCTGCTCGCGTGCCTGTCGGCCTGGCTGCCTGTCTGCTGGCCTCCTCGATATGACTGGGATGCCCCTTTCCTGGTCGGTCTCCCAGCGAAGCGAATCAGCGAAGTCCCCGCCGTTTGTATAGCCTCCAGCATAGTACCCTCTCGCAGACTTACAGATGTACGCTCCACTTCGCAACGTATATGTGGGTAGCTGCTTGTTGGCCCCCGGACAAGGATTTGCTCAGTCCACAGTGGCGGAGCTCGTGGCTATATTTGAGAACTATTTGTAGTGTCCATCGTCTGTCCAACATTGGTGCACAGTGTAATTCCAGTGTAGTTAAGCGTCTCGTCCACATAGCTAGATTTGTTGAGTTGGATGTCGGCGCATGCCAACATGTCAGTACAGTCGTGCGTTCGTGAACTAACAACGACTATCGACGCCTACTGCAGCCAGCTACGCAACTACTGATTGTCCAAACGCAATTCTTGTTCGTTATTAGCGTCCTTTCAAGAACTGTGAGTGGACATCATTAGTTATTCTTGATATTCCTCCAACGACGACGACGATGATGATGATAAACAGGCCGACAAGAGAGTTAACCGGGGCCCAGGAGGTGAGTGCGCCTTGCACATGGTACTGTGTCGTCGTCCTGCGACATCCTGCCTGCCAGCTTTCCTGTCTTTGTATCACTATCCAACGGCGTTCAGCGTAATGTGCATTCAACGTCGTTTCTGAATGTTCGCTGGCGCTGGAAGCGTCGCGGTGCAACGTCTCCTCGGTCAAATCGGCCATTTCTTCTGCATCTGCTCCCGATCACCTTGCACCACGACGAATGGAGGGGCAGGCGGATTTGTTTGCGTTTGCATGTCATTGCCCATTCCTGTCACCCTTCTGGCATCGTTTAGTCATCGTTTTCGCCGACATTATTGTCACCGCCACCATTTCATTCCTATCGTTACCGAAATAGTCATTTCCTTATTATTCTGTGTTGACACTTTTCCTCCGTATAGTCCTCCCTGTTTTTCTGTTCAAAATGTCCTGTCCTCCTTTTCGGCGAAGCAATTTTCATCTATAAACGACCAAATTTCAGTTCTTTCGCCCCGGTCTTTTTCTCGATTTCCACCTCTTACTCCTCTCTATCAGTGTCCATCCACCCACCTGCTTGCACACACAAACAGACTTACGTTTACACACGTGTTGTGCCTACCCAAATAGCAGGAGTCTCTCCGGGTTGTTTGAGCCCAATAATTCAAACTGACAATCCAAGTCCTCCTTACCGTACGTACCTGCTTGAAGCAATCTTTGCTTGCCAGATGTAAATCAATTCTTTTTCCAAAGGGTCCGCATTCACCGAAGATTTAAATGGTTCAGCCGAAACGCTGTTGCACGCAGGTACTCACATATGTACGATTTTTGTCTCATAGACACCTTTTATGATTACATCCAACTTCGAGTAACATCGTCATCAGCTAGCGTTACTGTTCGAGCAGCTGTGACGTAACGTTCTACTGACATGTGTCACGCGTTTAAGTTGAATGACCACCAAAGAAAGGAAAAACGACTTTTTTTTTTGTTTTGCAATTCGTTCAAAATACCCGCGCCAATTGACACGATCACCAGTATGAAATGGGTGGAGGTGCCAAGTCTGGATGAATGATGCTCCTTAATTTTCAGTTCGGACGACACATAACCACTATCATATGTGCCCCATGATGTCCTGGCGTCATTATCATTTTTGTCGCACAGGCAAGAACGTCTTTGGTTGGATGAGTGTTCCGAGAAATGAGCTTTTTTCTCAGTCTTACTTGACACTTCGTTCAACGCCGAACTCGCGAGGCTTAGCGTTTTCGTCATTTTTCACGCGTGTGTCAAGTGAATATTTCGTTATAGCATACAAACAGCATGGGCACGCGAACGTCTGAGGACGTGGGAGTAAAGAATTCGTTGAAAATCTTGTTTATGATTGGACACCGTTACTGTTGTTGATGCCGTCGTTGTCGTTGTCATGCGCCTGTTCCGTTCCTGCTGGTCCTTTGCTATCCTATCCCGCCCCTGTCATTCGTGTCGTATCCTATGTCGGTGCTTTTGCAGCCACTGCTTTGGGTGCTGGTGCAGCGGCGCACGCTGGTTGAATTTTCTTCTCAAGCTATTTGGAGTGCTGCAATTGCTGGGGGAAGGGAAGGCCTACGAAAATGAAAAGACCCCTCTCTCTACTTCCCATCTCCCTCCCACCAGTCCCATCGGCAAGCTATGTCGGGATGTTTGTCCGTATTTTGACATTGCATGACAATGCAGAGAAGCTCTGCCATTGTTCATGCTAGCTTCTGAGACTTAAATAGTGTGTGCGTTTTTCTTGGCGATGCAAAAATGAAACAAGCGGCGATCGACAGTGCTGCATACTGTGTCTTGGTAATAGTACCCTCTCTGATCTCGTGCGGCGTGCGCCTCACTTCGGGCGGCAAGGGGTAAGGATAGGTTATTGATTAGCTGTCTAACAAAATTTAAAAAGATTGAGGTGCATACATTTAAGCGTATAGAGGTAAAGTTTGGCCCGCCTTTTTAGGTGTTTACATTCAGATGTGTGGATACACATCTGTTTCTCGGCGGATGAACAACGATACAAACAATTTTCTCGAGAAATAGTAGAATCAGATGACGATAACGCTTTCGATGACTATTCCTTGCGCCAAAATCCTCGAGTCATTTTTTTTTTATTTACGTGCAATGAACATGCTTAAAGTTATCATATTTTTTAAAAGAAATTCTGCTGCGTATATTCTTTATAAATTGTCCGGTTCATTAAGTTCTCGACCTTAAACAGCTTGCGTGGACAGTCGTCACTGCGAAATCTATCGGCTGTTCGATCTAACTTTAATGTGTATAGCTTTGTAACCGACAGATAATTGAAACTTCTAATAGATTTCACTTATTTTGCGCAGGCTATTTTAGAGAAGACGTCACGTGACGAGCTTGATATCGGCTTCACAACGAGAAATTTACGTCCCGTATTCCCTTACCTCTTAGCTCCTCAAACCTTGACGACCTCACGATGTATTCTCGTGCCAATTGGTAATGCCCGAGAAGCACGTATGTCTAGAAACAAACCTGAGTAATGGACCTTCAGCCGAAATATTGATTTGCCTGTACGATACAGCAAGCGGATAGCGGACAAAATACGAGATTAGCGAGAGAAAAACAAACGGAGCATTTTTTAACAAAACAAAAACATTAATATACTAACTATATTGAGCTTCCCTCAATCGTGTTAGGATGTGTTAATAGCGGAATTAAGATCACAGCGGTCATACAGTGCTAGCCTTATTCCTGCCATAAACGAAACGTTACGAAAAAGGCCGTTTAGCTACACAACCAATGGTACCTCATCCTTTTTCGCCAGATCATATCAATAACTTAACACCCTGTTAGCCAGCTCGCTGTGGATACATTATTTGTTGTAGTGGGTTGAAGCTTCCGACGATGACGTTTGCAGTGCGGCGTGACGAGTTGACAGCGAACCTAGATTGGAGCAGTAACAGCAGCCGTAGCAGCAGTGGTGGTGTGCCGACAGGAAAATTTGGAATTGTCGTGCCATCCCGACTTCAGACAGCAGTTGCTTGCCTCCTTTATAGATAGTAACGCTGCCGGATAGCAAGGATGCTTGGAGCCAGTGCGGATGAAGGGTCCGGGGGAAGGCATGAGTCGGTGACGAGTATGGCGCGCCTAGGCAATGGCTGCGGCTACGGCCCTCTGCTGCTCGTGCAACTGGAAGGACGAGCCCCTCCGAGAAGGAAACGCTTTGCTAACACGAGAGAGTGCCAAAGATATGTGAATCCCCACAGTTTGCCTATGACGTCGCAGACGCAAAGATCTGCTGCGCAAGAAGTGGTGGGTTTTCCAATAGCGGGCGCTCGTTAAGGGACTCCGTCGTCGACCTACTCCCGCCGAAGATGGCCGAGTCACCAGCTCGACAACAGTCGTTATCGATCGTTGAAGACTACACAATTACGTTACAGCGTCTGTTTCCATTTCAAAGAGATCGTC